CCCTTGACTGATAGCAATCCTACAAAACCGTAAATGACCACTAATCATTTGACAAGTGTTGGAGATATTGCAAGAGAAAATGAGCCAATCAGGACAGCTGAGGATGTCGTCATCACAGAATAAAATCTCCTTTTTATGGCTTGAAATGAAGAACACATTTGATAAACCATATTAGAAGGCTTTAAAACTAAGCAAAAACACATTTTTATTAATGCATGTTTATTATTTTGCAAATTACAACAATATAGCCTAAAGACAGAAAGCACAGATGCCTCATTTATACATGATGTGAATAACTGCATTTGCTTCATTTACAACACAGATACTAAATTATTTACTTTTTGCAAAATTACTACTAAGGAATGGCTATTGATTCTCCCTGTGGTCCGTTGTATTGATGCAATGGTGGGTTTTTAAAAGAATGTCCTGTAAAAAGAGTGACAAATATAAAAATCAGATTCATCTGACAGATATTTAAGAGAGGGTTGGTATCACACATTCACACAAGGGTTGAAGAAAACAAGGTTGCACACATAGTAAAGAAACAGCCTTAAATTAGCAGGTTGCTATGTATAAAACCTATAAATAAACAGAAGAATATGTCACTCCATTGGTTCACAGAACTTGAAAAAAATGCTCGAAAGAATAGTTGAAAATTCTGTCCTCATTTATTCACCCTCTTGTCATTCCAAACCCATAAGACTTTCATTAAACTTCAAAACACAAATAAATACATTTATAATGACATAGTGTCTCCTAAGAAGACTTGGATTAAACAGCTCGATTCATGGACATTTAATGGAATGGACTTTCAATGGGAAAACAGAAATGCACCTTTTGTGTTTCAAAGATGAATGAAAATCTTATGGGTCTGGAATGACTTGAAGGTCAGTAAATTAAAACAGAATAGCATTTTTGGGTGAACTATCCTTTTAAAGGCACAATTACTATCTGCTGCAACCACCACATCATTACCGGTGGCGCAGCAATAAGTACTTTCAAACACAAATGTTGTTTTCATGAGCATCTGTATTCATCCGTCAACTGTTTTAGTTTCAAAGATTGTTTCTGGGGAACCAATGGCAGTATCTTTTCATGAATCTATACACAGTAGTGCTATAGACATTTATAGTAACATGCAGTAGCAAAACCGATCAAAGCAGCAATAATCAATGCACGAGTCATGACATGTAACAGTCCCTTTGAACAACATCAATCAGAACGACTGCATAGCCTTGTCAACAAGCGTATTGACCATTGCATAACTGAATTATTAGTACAGGAAATCCCCAACTGAAAACATCTGGGTGGGTTTCTAGATTGACAAAGAGATTGTCACATGTACATGATGCACACTGCAGAATGGTATGGATGGGATTGGGGGGCTTTTACCACTGGGCTAGTGGCGATCAGGTTAAGGCATGGGGGGTCCTCATCTGAAGGACGTAGCCCTGTCTGTACACAGGGGCACTGCCTTGGAAAACCTTTTTCTTTGCAGTGGGTCTGACTGATGCTGCTTTAGGGCTGAAGACATACAGCAGATGGCAGGTTCACTACTGAGACCCATTTACACCACTGATTGCTTTTTTTCATTGGGGGTTAGGAGACAAGCAACATAATGCATTGAAATGAATTGAATGTGGGGGACACTGGAGCTGTCATTGTGTGCGGTCACATATCATGTTATAAGAAGCAATACAACTATACGTACACTTCATCTTCATAGTCCTTCGGTGGAGACACTGCGATGACCAGGTCAATCCAGTCCTGCGAGAACATGCATGGAAAAATGTCAAGCACATGCATATGAAGGTTTTAATGTTTGATAGGCACAGTGTTTCTGTTACATTCTGCTGCATTTCTCTTTCAAGCCTTCATCTATATTTGATGATGCTTGCTGAAGATATCATTATAGCATGTGTGACCATGTGTGCTTTCTTGTGATTCACATTTTCCAGAAAAAAAAAAGAAAATATATGAACACAAATAGCAGACATTAACCACATAAATGCTAAGACTCAATACTCATTTGCAACAGCTTATGCTCTTTTAACTTTCTAATATCGAAAATGAATGCATAACTACAGCCACGCTATTTCTGTAACAAAGGTGTAGGAAAATTAACATAATTCAGCAGAATTTATTTTGTAGCATTTGTCATGTCGAAATTATGGTAATTACGCTAATTGTGCAATTAAGACCTTAGAGATTCTACATTGTGCTATTGATGACATTGTACTCTGAAATTGTTCATTTCTCATTCAAAACTAATAACAATAATAAGATCCTTGTGCAGCTTTGTTAATGATAACAGTAAAATACATACTGTAAATAACGACATTTCAGTGTTCTTCCAACCCAATCTTGTGGGAAAATTTAACAATTTTACATTTTAGTGAATTTGTGGTCAGTTCATACAATTTTTACCATAAAACTAAACATGAAGGTCCAACCCTAAACCAAAAACTCACTGGGGCGTAAACAGCTTGTATAAAAATGAACAAATTCATACAATTCGTCAAAAAGAAAATTTGTCACAAACTGTCACCCAGGATTGGATTGTTCTGTAAAATCTTGAAGAACAAGGAAAGAGCACATGGGCTATGATAACATTGCATATATTACAGTAGTCTAATATTAGTATTTTAGCTTGTTTTTTAGCCAGAAGCAACGGTTTAAAGTTAAAAATGTCTTAATATTGGATTTGCTTCTTACGAACACACAGTTTTTTGCTTCATTAGATGTTAATTGATGAACTGAAATCGTGTGGACTACTTGTAGATCATTGTGTTCTTATCAGCTGTTTGGTCTCTCATTCTGTCGACACCCATTCACTGCAAAGCCAGATCTGTGTTTAAAAACATGCCTTATTAGTTTGGCATGACCATTAAATCAATCTATAAAAAGCATCTGATCTTTAAAGGTGCACTCAGTTACTTTAAAACATTTAACATGTAAACAATCTAATAGTATTTTTTTTTAGAAATATGTTTATATATTAAATATGTGACCAACTTTATTTTTTAAATACAAATTTGAACAATATACTGTATAAAGACAATAAACGGATGTATCATGATATTAGAAACAGTACAACACATTGCATCATTTTCTACAGTACTGTACAACATGGTAAACATATTTAATACTGGGAAAGGATGTGTTTGCTTTGTTGGATCCATTGGTAGCTTTCCAGTTGGTTCTGGATCTGCAATGATGTTTACATACAATATAAAGGCTTTTCCCCATTCGCTACACACTCAAAACCACTGGCATTCCATCAAGACAAATAATCAATTAAGATTGAACCCCCACAGAACCAACGAAACGGAAAAACACAGACTTCTGGTCATGCTTTCCCTCATAAAAGATGAAAACGTACACCGAGATTCCATTTGGTGCAGAGGCAATCTAATATTATGTAACCTTCAGTTGGAGTCTCCCATTTGTGCAGTGAATATTAGATCCACTCAAAGGCTGCTTTCACAGCAAACAAGATGTATGATTTCAGCAAACTAGTATGATTGCATGAGAATATATAAGTGTGACTGAAAGACCAGTTCAGTATCATGGAAAGGTGAAAATATGTCTTAACCGAAATAAGCACAATATTGCAATCATACACCTGATGTCCTTGAGTATTTAAAGAGATGTTTACAACATAAATGTCAAACACAAGAAATGAAGTAGACATTTACCAGGACAGAATAACATCTACACTACTCAGTACGTAACGTAATCTCGGTTCCCTTTCAATACAGTTTAATTGCACTGCGTCAGTTGCTGATACTTTGGGGAATGCAATCCTATAGCGCCATGCTACAAGCACAGAATGAAGAACCCACCCTGCAAGCCCAGCCTATGGGCAGTCGGGAATGAGGGCCCTAGATAAACTGCTGAGAGCCCATACTGGGGCAGAATTGCTTAAAGGCGAGAAGAGTCAGGTTTTAGGCTGACAAGGCCAAAACCACTAAGTCATGCCGTATAGACTGGGATGAAAAGCCATTTGTTCATGCACATGCATAAACATGATTCAATGAACACTGAATTGAACTTCAGTATGTCAGAGAAATTGAGTTTCCCCAAAGCATCAACAACTGACACAATGCGAGTATTGAAAGGGAACTAGTTTTAAATTACGTCAAGGATACATCTGACCAATATCCTCCAGGGAAATATTGTTAGAAATTTAATATACACACTCAAACAGCTGAGACTTCACTCAAAGAAAAGAGAGGCGTTGTAATTCTAAGTAATGATGGCAGTTACTTGTTTTTTGCTGGATTTAAAGGACGTGTTGTACGTGACCATCCGTTTGAGCATCTCTGGGGGCTGAAACACACATATTTATGACTGGCTCTTAAAAACACAGCACAATAACACACACACACACACTAAATGCTTGCACTCATCACATGCCATAAAAGGATTGCCTCAGTGTGGTAAATTATCTATGAATTCAGGTGTCTGTGAGCTTTACAAATACACCGATTGCACTGATTTCCCATTGTATAGAGTGCAGTAAAGATGGTGAGGTGATAGATTATTGGATCCTTTGAGAGAAAGGACACATGGTTCTTTATATTAGCGTGAAAAAAATAAGACAGATCATTAGGCTTTAGCAAAGGTTACATTATTTTTTATAATCACTAGGCAAATACTTTGGTCACTTTTTCAAAACTCTTCACACAGTTCTCCTTACCAACTTTCATAGCAGTACATTTCATATCTAATACGCACTACAACTACCAAAACACTTCATACGGATCAATTTAATCTTCTATAACAATAGCATAGGTCAACAATTTATGCAATTTAAAAATTTAATAATTTAATGTTTTGTGCCAAAGCAATGGAAATGGTCCACAGTTTAGCCCACATAGATGTCTGTTGTGCTCACTATGTGAAGTGAGGTGAGGTGTGGTGACCTAAGTATTGAGAAATGGATCCTAGTGATTAATAACTCTTCACCTCCCCCCCATATCTCAGAAAACAGGTAAAAAGGTACATAATTATACCTTATTTACCCCTAAATGGTACATATTAGTATCTTAAAGGAACATATTAGTGCCTGAAGTGCACATTATGGTACCTAATGAAATGGTACCACCCCAGTGACAGTACCCTATTTTTTGAGAGCGTATAAGATATGTGCCAACTATATTCAATTAGAAATGCACTTCCTGTAGGTTGTGCCAGAGTAATCTCCAAATCTAGACATGGAGAACTGTTGGAAGATATTTCCTCTTCAAAGAGAAGCTAGTTTGCATTAAGCTGACATTAAATGAGATGTTACACAAGCATGGCAAGTCTGATTTGTGCTAAAAATGGAGCAGAAGACCCAGAGCAGCATGTACCATTTACAAACTGAGGACTCACCAGTGGATTATTAGAGGTGTATATCCTGCTAGCATGAGATGTGTTTCTCATCACCTGTGCCACAAGGATAAAGTATTTAACAGTCTAACAGTGATAGGAATCACTACCACTTCAAGGTCATCAAACCGAATGACAGCATGCTTTTTCCCAAAATGATTATCTGTTTCCTGACAAATAACTATAATAAACTAACAATGGTTAACCTCATCTGCAAAACACCACACTCAAGGCATACACGCATGTATGTACAACATAAGAGGTGGGTAAAAAAAAACAGGTAGATTGCAATGTTCACTTCAGTGAAGACAGCAATATTCGTGTGACATGGAATCAATTTTGGAATCTAATTGGATTGAAATGTGATGTGTCTAAAGATTCCCACCCCTATACAACATACATAATCAATTCTCACACTGCCAAATGCATTAACTATGCTAACCGTCAGGTTGTGGTCAGACTTCGGGCTGGGTGGGCGTGAGAGATCACTGGGAATGGTGGAGTGGAAGCCACCTCTCTGTCGGTAACCATTGTCCCCAAACCTGCTTCCCTGTTCGGATAAGCTTGGGGAGCGGGGATAGTTGGACGACCCTACATGGTACTTGTCCTCCATGCGCAGGGGTGGAGGAGGTGGTGGAGGAGGAGGCGGTGGTGGTGGAGGGGGAGGAGGTGGTGGCGGGGGAGGTGGCTGAGATGTGGACAGACCCCTGGAGGAGAATAGTGGGGTGGCAGGAGGTTGTCGGCTACGACCTATTGAGGAAAGGGGTACCCTTAAGGCTGGTGGAGAAGGTGGGCGTTGAGGGGCTGTTCTAGGACTGGGTTGCATTGGGAGCTGTGTTCTTGGAGAAGGAGGGTGATGGTTGGATGTGTGGTAAAGACGGGGTGAGGGTGGAGGGAGTGGTAAGGGAGGGGGAGCTTGGTTGGATGTAGGTGGGGTTGGGGAAAGTCTTTTCAAAGGTTGCCTTAGACTCTGGTCCACATCATCTAAGTTGATGTCATCAAGGTCAGTAGTGGCCAAGGTCAAGCCTCCAGGGAACCTCCGATTGGTGGGACCAGTTGATGCAGGGGAACGGGTTGGAGACATCTGAAGTTACATTTTAATTGCTTAGAACTCTGAATTAACAAACTATGGACTAGAAGACCAGCACACATCAGGATTTGAACTGGATAGATTTTACCTCTGAAGAATCATTTTCAACTGAGGAGATTTGCTCTAATCTGGTTTGACAGAGTCTCTCCACCCAATGCTGCACCTTCTCCGACTCTTCCAGATCTTCCCTCTCAGTTTCTGACACCTGGTTGAATTAGTAAAGCCACATCCAAACATGGAAACGTTGATATACCAATGAGAACTTGCTGGACTACCACTGGAAAGGGTACAACTGTTCACATGGGTACATTCGAGCAATAAAGGTCAAGTGCCAAGGAGACGGAATCAATTACACACAATTAAAAAGGGATAATTCACCCCAAAATTAAAAATGCTATCATTAATTACTCACCCTCATGTCGTTCCAAACCCCGTAAGACTTTCGTTCATCTTCGGAACACAAATTAAGATATTTTTGATGGAATCCGAGAGCCCTCTGACCCTCCATAGACAGCAAGGATATTACCACGATCAACGCACAGAAACGTAGCAAGGACATCGGTAAAGTAGTACATGTGACATCAGGGGTTCAACCGTAATTTTACGAAGCTACGAGAATACTTTTTGTGCGCAAAGAAAACAATAATAACATAATTTATTCAACAATTCTTCTCCCTGAGTTAATGTCTTCCGCCATTTTGGAGAGTACCCCAAAACGTAATCAACGTAATCAGCACTGTTTATGTTCAGCATTCTACTGAACGTAAACCACGCTAAAAATAACGCTAAAAAATATCTTAATTTGTGATTCGAAGATGAACAAAGGTCTTACTGGTTTGGAACGACATGAGGGCGAGTAATTAATGACAGAATTTTAATTTTGGGGTGAACTAACCCTTTAAACAAGGAGTACAATCTGAGTCAAAAAACCCTCCTGTAACCTCACTGGAAAAAGTCTGTTACCTCTTGAAGAAGTCTGCTGATTTTCATCTGCTTTTCTCGCTCAAGTATTTCTTCCTTCTCCTTTGCAAGTTTCAGCTCAAACTCCATCTCTTTCTTGTTCTTTTTCTCAGCTGGGAGAGTGTCAGTCTTGGACATCTTCTTCTTCTTTTTGGTCTCTTTTCCTTTCTAAATATCCAAAGTGATTTGAGAACACCTGGTGGACTTTGCACCAAGGTCAATCCAACTTCCATGCAAACCATAACTTCGGGCATATCTCCAAGATGAACAACATATTCCATAGTTCTAGCACACCAAACCAGCACAACATGCTTGCACACACAGAGTACCTTTTTGAGTGTAGGCAACTTTCCTTCGTAACGGTAGAACCAACCGAATGCTAAGAGAGTAAGAATGATACATTAAGTCCCATGCAAAAACTCAACCATGATATGGTGTATTCTGCAGATTCATCCATCTAAAAGCTACCAAAAGATCCAACCAAACAAAGTAACAAGGAAGATAGTCTACATGCAGTTGAAGTGTCTCGAAAAAGGGTAAGTTTTTCAAAGGGAGTCTTTGTCTGTAAAGCCATCTGAATTCTTTACTTACTTCTCCGAGCTCTTCTTCATCGGACTCAGCAGCTGATGGAACCAGGAATTGATAAACCAGGCACAACAAGAAGGTAAAAGATCAGACAGAAAGACAAAGATCACACAAAGAGATGATGCATTCCCAACATAAATGCACATCTGTTCATGCAGAGGAGAAAGTAGCAACATCAATGCAAAGTGCATTATGGGTACCTTTTGGGAAAGGGTAACATGTTCTTTGATCTTTAGAGAATAATGTAGTTCTACAGAGGCGTTCAAAGTTCATGGAGATGTTTTGTAGGTATTGTCAACTTACTGGAGGTTTTGGGTTTGGGTGAAGGTGCATTACGTGCAGGTGGTGGGGGTGAGGGAGAGGGGGAGGGGGAGGGGGAACGAGATTTGGATTTTTCTTTGGAACCCCAATCTTCTTCCCACTCTTTGTGGTGCTTCTTTTCCGCGGCTTCAATTCTGAGACACACGACACATACATTCAATGGACATCTATCCTGACAAGCCTGCTAAATAATTTCTGAGACGATATATATATATATTTGGAATCAACATCAAAACACTCAACAAAAATGACAAGAAGTTGACCTCTTTTGCATTTAACAATAGATTAAATTTGTTCAAATTTAATTTTCTCACTGTCATCTTTATTATACAACAAATTTTAACGCATTTCCACTGGACCAAAACCAATAGGCTGTGAAAACTAGACCTACAGTATAGTACATATAGAACAATCTGTACTTCCATTCCTCACAGCTCTGCTTTCATCAACATCAATTTGCTCTACTCTGCCTTCTGAGGTCTATTTACTTTGAAGATGTTTTTGCTTGGCAACATTACACGTGTTACCTCTCCATCTCTTTGCGATAGCGTTCTTCTTCCTCTGCAGTCTTCTGTGATACCTCCATCTTCCTCCTGCAAAATATTGCACATATGAACATTTTCATGCCGATTTAATGCAGGAATTTTAATTATCTGTCCCCTTTTCATCAGCGGTGACAATTCATCAGATCATGAAAGTACATATAGATGCATTATGTAATGTAAAGATGTATTTTAATGATAATGAAAACCATTATAAAGTGGATACTTATTTTTGTTTTAACCACAAGAGAACAGTACCCAATATTTTGACAATAAAAGGTACATTTTAAGAAATGATGCATCAATGTAAAGTAGCTTTATCTGCTTGTGTATGTTTTTTTTCACTGACTGGCGCTCTTTCTCCTGCTGTTCTTTGATGACTTTGTTGGTCTCTAATGCCACTCTCTTCTGATGCATTAGCTCTTGTCTTTCAAGCTCACGACGAGCTTCAGCCGCCAGCCGCTCCTCATCCGTCATAAACAGCTCTCTTCCCTGAAACATACAGTAGACAAATCAATACTTTCACAGAAATATGTGCACAAATACACCCGTACAATCCATTATATCTTCTACAGATCAGAGACGTGAAGCAAAAAAGCTGATGTTGTGAAACTCCTTCATTATTACCATCTCTGAAATGCAAAAGTACCATTTAAAGACAAACACACCAATAAAAAATGAAGAGGTATACAGTACAATACAAACAACATCTGCACAATGTATTGCCCTCATATGTAGCTGTCAGTTAAAACAGTTTTATACTAAGCAAATGGTTTTCTTTTCCATACAGCCCCTCGAGGAGAGATAAAAGCATTGTGGTGGGTCTTTGAGATGTTCTGACGGCAGAAATGTATTAGTAGGCTCTCAGTGAACTTACAGCTCCAGTGAGGACAGTGATGGTTAGACTCCTGCTGCTCTTTAACACTCGCACTGCCTAAAAACACACACATTAGCCAACACTGTTACCAGTTTAAATATGCAGAGGTTCTTAATTAGCTGTTTGACATTTTCAGCAAGATCCTGCTCACTTCATGATGACTCAGGTTGGTGAAATCCACCCCATTGACCTCCACAATCTGGTCACCAGCCTACAACCACAGACACATAGTAGAGAGTTACTATGCTAAAATCAAACAGTAATGGTCTGTTAATGCAGTTCAATCTGGGACTTAAATGAAATGACCTGTAAGCCCACTTCAGCTGAGACTGAACCCGGCTTCACATTGCTCACATAGATGCCTGGTTTCTGTGTTGGTCCACTAGATATGCTATAATGCACAGTCAAAAGACATATTTAGGAATTCATTCTTTGTCACAAGATTAAGCTAATTAAAGTAGCTTTAAAAGTAGGCTTTTGTGAAGACACCAAAGAAACAACAGCATTTCAGTACAAAGACAAATGCAGTGTACTTCATATTTGGGGGCACAATTCCAGTAAATAAAGGTTTTTATTATAATTTTCAATGTAGTTAATCTGTGTGCTGTAGTCGTGAATATAGTTATAATAAACCAATCTCTCTCTTACCTGATTCCCATGCCTTTGGTGCCCACCAAACTAAGGAAAACTTTCTTTTCCTTGATTTCTTTCCCTCCAACCGAAGCCAAACCAGCCACACTAGTCTTTTTCTCCTGAGACAAAACAATAAAACAGGACTAAATAAAAAACAACTTGAGCTGCTTTAAAATAGGATGCCGCGAGGAGGAAACTCTTACCCCTGATTCAGACACAAACTGATCCACAAACTGCCACTTCAGAGGGTCTTCAGAGGAGCTGATTACGGCAAATGTATAATTTAGCAATATCATTATGGAAAGAGAGAACATTAATAAAAGCTATTCCACATATCAGAGAATACTGTATAATTACTAACTAAATTACCTCTTGACAGGAATCATTCCCACGTCTGTGAAGAGAGTGTCACAATGGCAATAATTAAAATACATAAATAAATAATTAATAATTAATATATTTAGCTAACGGCAATCCCAATAATTAATTATCTGAAGGAAGACACAGTTTCCTAATGAACTGCTCAACTGTGAATCAACTGTGATTAAATCACTGCAACTAAGAGCTAAATCGATTGATTAAGCCCAGTGGAATTAGAGGCAGTTCATTTTTGCTCTAACTAATAAATTCAGCTCTGCAAATGACAATAGAAAACTGTAAAATCTTACGGCGGACTTTCAGAGACACAATCTTCTTGGTCTTAATGAGATTGATGACCTCCTCATGAATGCAGGAGGAGATGGAGTAGCCATTAATACGCACAATCTCATCGCCAACCTGAAGAAAACACAGCAAACCACATTCATATAAAATATGTAAAATATGTCATTTAACATTTTTATAAATATTTAGTACTAAAAATACCAGTAACAATTTAATTATAGCCAGAATAGACACATTTTGCACTATAGAAACACAAGGGCTGCCTTTGAATTCTTTGACTTTATCTGCAGAACATTACACAGTAATGGACAAGTAAAGTGTGTTTGGAATTAGAGGACGGCTTATTGCGCCCCCTAGTGGAGAGAACATGCACTGGTCATGTTTTTTGTGCAGCCATTGTAAATTACTCATTAATTTGAATGTTTAAAGGGGTCATATGATGACTCCTTTCTCTTTGGAGTGTTACAAGCTCTTGGTGCATAAAGAAGATCTGTAAAGTTGCAAAGACTAAAGTCTCAAATCCAAAGAGATATTCTAAGAGTCAACCACGCCTACCTAAAACGGCTCGTTCTAACACGCCCCCACATATCTACATCACTATGTTGGGAAGATTTGCATAACGCCGCCCAAATGTTCACGCAAAGAAAGAAGGCGTAACTTTTATTTTCCCTGTAGTATTGTTGTTGCCACCGCCGCCATGTCGTGAAGATGCTGTGTGCTTCATTGTGAAAG